AAGATATGTCTGGGGGAATTTAAAATCTGGGGATGACACCAATATTCCTCAGTGCTTACTCCAACGTCAGAATAGTACTCGGACTCCTCTTCATTCTTTGCATCAACCTTCTAAAAACATGTTTGTCACATGGGACACAATCTTACCGGACAAAGAGGTTGCTCTAAATTCGCGGCCATTTTTTCACAATTTTGGATGGCCAGTCAGAGATGGAGGACTATAATCATCTGACAATTCGGCAAAATGTTAGAGCGCACTTGGGGGAAAGATGTGCACACGTGTGTGCACACACACACGCGTCCAGATATTGGATGTGTCCGGGCACTGGGGGACATGTATGTTTAGAGTGGTGGATCATCGTTGTCCGGCGGAACATCTGATAAGATGTCGAGATTATTTCAGGGCTCCTGTTACAGTGAGAACATGAGATCGTACAATGATGGAGACAACGCAATAAAAACAGATAGGGAATCTGTATACAGCGCAAAGGTATGACATCCCCTATTTCCATACATTCTCTATAACCCCAATTCCCGTCCGTGCTTTAAGACGAATCCAGAAGTTTTAAACTACGGGCGTCGTGACCTAGATAGTACAAGGTTAATTAGTAGCGAATGTAAGTTGGGCTCGTATACGGACGATATATTTCTTAAAGGTTCAGTTATGTCTGGTGATTCATCCGCATATGGGGACAACGGGATAATGACTCGTATCTGGAGTGGAATGAATCGCCGTGGTTCAGTCTCAAATGACAACCAGCAAGAGGTGATAGTGCAGCTGAAAGAGGCATTTAAAAAGCGAACAGAGTGTCTGGTCATGTTGCAGAACAAGATGGAATCCACCGAAAAAGTCTACAGAGGTGAGATAGAGTCTCTTAAGATGGAGCTAAGTGTAAAGAGCCGAAAAATGCTGGAATTCCGGGAGAGCTTGCTGGAAGCTAGAGAAATTATAGAACGGGAAAGAGAATCCAACAGCAGTATGACCATGGAGATGAAAAGCTTCCAGAGAGAATTGGAACTAAAAAATGGTGAATGCGAGCGTCGTGATCTGTTAATTAAAGAGTTGCGTAATAAAAATAATGTTCTGGAAACGTGTGTGCTAGAATTAAAAGAAGATGCGGAAAAGAAATGTGAAGCCTTAAAATTGCTAGAAAAGTCCAAAGCGAAGCTAGAACAGTATGAGCACAATTATTACAGATACTATGCATACGAGGTCAATGTAAATAGCAACACTATCAAGCCAATTATCCTCGTCTATCAGCTGTTGCCAAACTCTCCTATTTACTGGATCTCCATCAAGAAATGGAATGGCTTTATCCAGATGATATCAATGAGCAACATTAAAACCATAAACGTGTCGAATTATGAACTTCTAGTGATCTCTACATATAACACGCCCGACATCATCATCCTCTTCCACAATTACGGCATGCTCACCAATGCGATTACCAACCTAAATCGAATGTTCAGTAAGGTGTCACTTCACGTCTCCACCGTACTCACTACTCTGCAGAGGAGTCCCAAGAGAAAGAGCGCCAAATCCGTGACCAGCAGAAGCTGATTTGCTTGGCGGAGATTGAAGCAATGCTGTTTGGCGAGTGTATGGGCACTGTTCAATTCCCGTCAATTTTTAATCCAGCATAATTAACACCCAGCCTGACTGGTAGCTCTTTCTAAAATGCCTTATCGTGCTCGATTCGTGGCATCGAGAGCAGCCAATTACGGAGGATCTTTTTAAAGGCACCAAGTCGCGAGACTGCTGAGCTTTTGATGGCATAGTGCCACGGATTGGTTTCACAACATACGGGACTAACGTATGGTTACACGCTCGAGCCTGTAATGCGTGCGTTGAGCATCAACGAGGATTTGGCAACTTATCCGTCTGCTTCCCCAATTCCATCACGAAGGCTGAATGGGGTGCCAAAGCGGTAAAGGGTTTATGAGTCGTGTACCTGAGGAAGCCACTTTATTCCCTTTCTGGTCGTCGCCTCGTTCGCTCTCCAGTTTACTACAGTCGTCTGCCAGACCCTTTTCAATCCGACTCATCATGTCACAAGTGCTGGAGTAGTGCCAACGACTCCGAGCCGGCCACAATCCCGAAACAGAAAGACGTAGAGTTCCGGGCTGCCCTGTGGCATATAGAACGGCTGACCCTCCGGTTCTGCCGACTTTCCTGGCCCGGTGTCGCTCGCTGCGAGCATTTTTTGTGCAGCTGGATCAACTGTTTTTTTGAGGCGGATTCCAGAGCCTGTTTTTGACCTGGATGAACAGCGCGCCCACGTTCGCTTCCGACAATACATGCTGTTCAGGATCCTAGGTGATCCTAGCAAACACGGCAGAACCAACTAGCAGCCTGCTTTGTCAGGCTTGACACTGATAGCACTGTTGGACCGAAGAGCCACATTCAACAAACTAGAAGTGACACTCTGCTCCGTGTTTGTGAAGTGCGAAAATGCAAGCCATCCACGGATAAGGCGTGCTGCAAATCTTTGATGGGATTGAAAGTCTTCGAGACAGATCATGCCGAGCCAGTCACCGAAAGAGGCGTAATCAAGGTTGAAACTAGTCCTTTCAACTGGGCTCGTGCCAACGGCAGGATCAATCGACAGATGAGCTTCCCCATGTCACCCGTAACTTCGAATCCGTGTTCAACCAGTGAGAGCAATCGCCGAGATACAGCCTCAGCGTTCTTGTTGAAAGGCAGGCGCGCATCCGCGAATATCAGTCCTGGCAACGAGTTTCTCTGCAAACTGGTGGCCGGTTCGAAAGACAAAGCCGGGGATTGCAGCGGAAGCTGCCGTTGCCATGGCTGCTTGGCCGTGATCCATGGGTGGGTCTTGTACTGCTTCGTCCACGCAGACAGGCTACAAAGCCCCGATGCAGTAGGCTGCTTCCCATAGCGGTCATGCGTGCTGTCTGGGCTCGGCGATGTGGACCGTGCGGCTGTTCTATTTTTAATCGGAGTGGATTGTGTCGTGGGGCCTGTGGCGACTACTCACGCGGGTTGCCTTTTGCGGTCGGGGGTGGTTGTGTTATGGGGCTGAAAAAAATGGAGGTGGTTATACGCAGGTTCGTTGCAGAAGATATTTACAGATTAAATGAGACTAATCTGGACAGCTATACGGAGAACTTCATGAGCTCGTTCTACTGGGAATTTCTGGCTCGGTGGCCCGACCTCTGCCGTGTGGCGCAGGCACTCGACGGTCGGATAGTCGGGTACATCCTGGGGCGACTGGACGCAGACCCTCTGGAGGGCAACGAGCCGAGTGTCCAACGGTCGAATGCCCAACGGTCGAACGCCCAACGGTCGAATGTCCAAGGGTCGAACGCCCAAGGGTCGAACGGTGAACACTCGGGGGCGGACGCCGGGCAGCAATCTTGGCGGGGGCACGTGAGCGCGCTATCAGTGGCGCCTGCCTTCAGGAATCGGAGGGTCGCGCAGCAACTCATGCGTCACTTCGAAGAAGCGTGCTTCGCCGTGGGCGTACACTTCATAGACCTCTTCGTGCGGGCGTCCAACCAGCCAGCCATCAACCTCTACTCCTCCCGTGGATACCGAACACACAAAGTGGTCCGCGGCTACTACAGCAACGCGGAAAACGCCCACGACATGCGGCTGTATGCCAAAGACTTTCATAAAACCCAACCGGACCACACCTCTGCTCAACCTGCCACCTAACCCGATCCGCCCGCCCCCAGGCCCGACCAAGTCACAACACGACTCAGTCGGGAGATGACCCAATCGGAAAACGACCCAATCGGGAAACGACCCAGTCGGGAAACGACCTCACCGTGGTGAAGCCACACCAGGTGGAGGTGTTATTTTTGTAAGTCAGCCCACGGCAGAAACAGCACGAACTAACCTCAGCAGCTGCGCTATTTCTTAACAACTTGAATCACATCTTCATCAGCCAGAGTGTGCTCTGCCAGAGAGAGTGTTTAGGGAGAAAGGTTGTTAAAGGGTAGGAGAGCAAAGGTAAGAGGGAGGTGGGGTAGGAGCGGGTAAGAGGGAGGCGGGGTTCTACCGATGCCGCACTGTTGCGGGATATGTTTAGTGCTTCGTCCCCAGACGATAGCGTATCTGGTTTCCGTTTGGAGACTGGTGTGGATGTATTTGACGCAGTTTTTGATAGTGGAGCCTCCTCTTTGGGGTGTAAGAATAATAGGGTCTGAGAAGTCTGGTTGTTCTCCGACCTTTTTGGTGTAGACGCGCACGAGTTCTAGTTCCGCCCACATGCGTTCGAGGAGAGTGTCCATGTTCCAAGCTCTCTGAGAAGAAACGCATACGGTCATTGGTCTCCGAGCGAGTTCGTCCAGTTGTTCAAGAGAGAGCATGTCCACCTTATTGTAGACATAGAGACACTTGATGTACTTTCGATTCCCTTCAATAACATCGATTAGGTCGTCTGCATTATGATTTGCTCTGAATAAGACGTCTGCATTGAATATCTTATACTCCGACAAAATAGACTGACAGAGCTTTGCATCCATCGCAGAAAGAGGCACGGTCGAATTAAATGTCACCCCACCAACCTTCTTCACCTTCAACGATATCAATGGCGGCTCCTTGTTCAGACGAATACCAACCGCTTCCAACTCTTTTTCCAACTTGTCTTTTTGCGCGTCATCCTTGGTCGCATCCAAAATCATCAGCACCAAATCCGCACTCTTGGCAACGGCAATCACCTGCCGACCTCGACCGCGACCCTCAGATGCGCCCTCAATAATTCCCGGCAAATCCAGCAGCTGTAGTCGAGCTTCCCGATAATCTATTATTCCAGGGACACATGTCAGGGTCGTAAACTCATACGCCGCCACCTCAGACTTGGCTCCCGTCAACTGACCAAGCAGCGTAGATTTACCCACGGACGGGAACCCAATCAGCGCTATCCGACTGTCTCCAAACTTCTGGACATCAAAGCCTTCGCCCTTAGCACCAGCCGACTTACTCCCCTCTATCAACTGAGAACGAAGCTTCGCCAACTGCGCCTTTAAACGACCAATATGATACTCAGTAGCTTTATTCTTCTGTGTCCTCGAGATTTCAAACTCGATGTCCTTAATGCGCTATAACACTATCCTTTGGCGGAACCCTTCCTTCCATTCGGCCCCCCGTCTTTAGTGGAACTTCGACCAAGCCCCACTGGGGCTGTCGGAGGCGCGTGTTTGTGCGCACACGCCCGTGTTTGCGTGCACACGCGCGTGTTTGTCACTTTTCATTGGTTCTTACTTCGAGTATGCCCATGCCCCTAAAAAATGGCCAGGTGCGGTCAATTGTAAAAGTCCGGATGCTGTTTAACTATGTAGCTCCAGACGGACGGGTTCGCGTCAACTGCACCGGACTTGTAGTACAGAGGGGTGTTATCCCAGTGCTGGCTGTCCCAAGAGCCAACATCCCCCGAGTCCTGGTCGGAGCGGTATCTGCGTTGGCCGAAAATTCGGTCCAGTAGGGGCGCGCCGAAAAACGAGCAGTCGTTGGCCGTCCTGTTTTTGAATGAATCGACGGAGCTCGCGTGCTGATACCTCCGCGGGGTAGTTCTTAGTCTGCGTAACCTGGTGGGCCTGTACCGGTTTTGGTCGGCGCGTCGAGAGCGTATTGCCCCAGCCTGCATTCCTCCCATGTGCATTCCTCCCATGTGCATTCCTCCGGCGGCTTGTGAGTATACTTCCGTAGGGCTCTCTGCGACGGGTGCGGTGAGTCCGGTCCCTTGGGCCCTGGCAATCCGGGGGTAGTTTTGAGTGAGGTTATCTTTGCCCCATTGTTGTATTTCGACAATGGTTTCTTCCACTCTGTTTTCAGCCTTATGCAGGTCTAGCTCCCTAACGAGCGTATGCGCATCCATGCCGTTCTGGAGGCAAGAGAACAGTCGCTCTCTTTCGCGTTCTATTTGTTCCGCAGTGGCGTCGCTGACTAGATGCCGGTTGACGGGTACCTCATTAACTCTCGGTAAATAAACATTGTACTCGTGAGTGTGTCCAGGCTGGGCCACCAGCTGAGGAAGTCGTTGGTGTAGGGTAGTCTTGACTTCGAAAGGCAACGGGTGGATAACTGGCACCTCATATGGCCGGTCGACCTTTGTAACAATGTCTTGAGTGGTTTCGCTTATAACAGGCACAGGTACTTCTTTCACCCGTACCTGCTCCTCCTTGACTGGCACCCGTACGACCTTCCGTACGGGTACTTCCCGGTAGTTAACTGTCGGTACCTCCACCACGCGGTCCACATATTCAGTCTTGGGTATGTATACCGGCCGCTCCTGAACATCCACCTCCGGACCCTGGACCACGCGCTCTTTATACACCACCTCCGGCACCTGTACTAACTCCTCCACGTACTGAATCTCCGGAACTTCCACCACTCGCTCCTCCACTATCGGACGCGCAACCTCCACCACTTTTTCGCGCAGCACCGCGTCTTCTTCGACCAAAGCCTCCCGGACGACCTTTCGGGGCACACGCACTCGCCTCTCTTCCCACGACTCGCCAATCACCGAACCCGCAGGGACGGCCACTACCGAGGCACTATGCGCACTTGGGCCCGTGCTGTTCCCCAAAGTCACCGGGTGACGAGCAAGTAGCTGCTGAGTAACAGGCTGCAAAGCAACCAGCTGCTGAGTCACTGGCTGTTGAGTAATTAGCTGCTGCGCAACTCGCGGACTCACCAAGTGCTCACCAATAGACTGTGCCCCGTAAATTTGCGTGCCGTAGCCTTGCGTGCCGTAGCCTTGCGTGTCGTAGCCTTGCGATCCGTAGCCTTGCGATCCGTAGCCCTGCGGGGCATACGCCGTGTAGCCAAGCTGCGTGCCATGGGCTATAGAGCTTCGGCCGCGGCCCACGGTGCCGTATCTCGCAGGGATCGCCACGTTCCCGCCCCCTGTGACGTAGGTCGGCTGTACCACTGCGGAATGAACACCCGACGGATGCGCTCCCAACTGGTAGCTGACCTGCGTCGTATAGGGAACGTGGCTGGCAGATCTGGGCAAGGTCGCAAGCGGGTTGGGCCGCAGTTCCGCCGCCATTTCCGCTCCGATCCGAGGATTTAATTCTGTCCCTCGATGAACAAAACGACTGCCTCCAGTTAGGGACTGGCCTCCCGCCAGGGACTGGTCTCCCACCAGGGCCTGGCCTCCCATGAGCACCTGGCCTCCTGCCGATTGACCGAGTACTCGTTGAGTGGTAGATAAGGGTTGTCTCTGCATCAGAGGCTGGCGAGCCGTGGCGTAGAAAGCTTGACTCGCATACTGGTCACCATATTGGCCGCCCGGAGCTAAGCCAGTGGGGGCCAAGCCACGGGAAGCTAAGCTGCTGGAGGCTAGGCCATTGGGGGCCAAGCCGCTGGGGGCCAAGCCGCTGGGTGCCAAGCCGCCGGGGACCAAGCCACTGGCAGCTAAGCCGCTGGGAACGTTGGTTGCCACGCGAGGGTCGGCATAGTCGGCAGCCGGGACACCTTCGTTGTAGCCGGGGAGAGCGGGGGCGAAGCTGAGGGCTTCGATAGGGGTGTGAGCATGAGGCGTTGGGGACCAGCGCACGCCTTCCTTCGCGCTGGCTGGGGACTGGGTCGTCGGTGTCGGCGTCTTGGCCGGACTCATCACGGTCCCGCCCTGGTAGACCTCCTCCACAATCTCCTCCGTGAAAGACGGCTTCTTCCACGCCATGCGCGAAGCGGTACGCAACAACGTCGGAGAAGGGGCGTACGCCATTATATTTGCTTTTGAGACGGACCGAAGAAGAACGTGAGGTCAGATCCAAGACTCGTTGGAGAATTAGATCGTGCCGGTCCGGTCCTGTCCTGGTCTTCGAGGCTGGATTGTGCAGGCTCGGTCTCGGAGACCAGAACGACCAGGCCGGGTGGGTGGAGAAAGGGGCGGGTTGAAAGGGGCTGGACGCAGCCTGGGGGGAAGGCAGCGTCAGTTTTGGGGGGGGGGGGGGACTAAGCCTCAGTCTGAAAGGGCTAAGCCTGGAAGACACCCGCCACCTGTCGTCCAGAGACCAGGTCGCTCGCTCAGGACGGATCCGTTCAGGAAACAAAATAAACAGGTCGTTCCGACAATTTAATGAGTGCAGGATCTGACTTGAACTACAGGCCCTGGAAAAAAGTTGGGAACATGGCAGTGGAACACTCCGTAGACCGCCTGAGGGACCACCCGCCCGGCTATGTCTGTGACACTGGCGTGAAGGGCGGGGCTACGTTATCCCGCGCCGTACGTGGGATCCCACGCACTTTGTCCACACGGATTTCGCACCTGGCTGCGAACTTGGGCAGCGGCCTAGCGGGTAATGGTCTAATGGGTAGTGTTGGTCTACTGGGTTGCGGTGGACCCTTGGCGGAGAGTCCGGAGCGACTTGAGAACAAGACTGAGTCGAAGTCCATTTTGCTTTGGGGCTCCTCGAGGTCGGGGAAGACCTCGATTTTGTACCGGTGGAAACTAGGCGTTGCGATCCCAACCGTGGACACGGTAGGGTTGCTGGAAGAGCGCTTCACCGCCCACAAGACCATCGCCTCCGCTCATTCCTTCAGGTCGCGGAGCTTCGATGCACAAAGCTTCGACGTGCAGAGCGGAGACGCCCGGTGTCCGGGAATGGTCGCTGCGAGTATGGCCATGGCCAGCGTGGCTACGACTGCCTCGACCATAACGGATGGAGACTCGGTGGTTGACGAGGTGAGTTATCAATTTGAGAGGAGAAGGGCGGCCTCGGCTGGGGCTCGCACATCGGTGGAAGTGAAGGTGTGCGAGGTCGGTCGTGACCCGACAAGTTTGGAGATTGCGGTGCGCGACTCGCCGAGTGGGGAGGAGCACGAGGAGGCGTGGGCGCTGCACTTCCTTAATTCGGTTTGTTGCGGCTGCTGCAGCTCGAACCAGAGACGTTTCGGTTACGAGACGTTCTTCCGGCTCTGGGCGGAGGCCGTGGCCACCTCGGACGCCGTGGTCTACGTCGTGGACTGCGCGTCCGCCAAGGCGCTGCAGGAAGTGGCGGGCGACGCCACGCTCGTCATGAACCACGAAGGCCTGCGCCGCAAAGGCGCCAAGGTACTCCTGCTGGCGAACAAACAAGATGTGTGCGGCGCACTCGCCGCACACCAAGTCGAAGAAATCGTCGGTTCAGACGTCGTCCGCAGCGATCGCTTCAAGATACTCCCCACCAGCGCCATCACGGGCGAAAACATACAGGAAGCACTCCAATGGATCATACAGTGAGTGAATCCGGAGCTAAACCGGTCAGTTGAACCGGGAGAGCCGATCCCGGGATCGCCCGATCGCTGCGGGATCACCCGGAGCGATCGAGGCCGGTTGTATGCGTGACGCTTCAAACTCGCGTGCCTCAGTCAGCTAGTTAGAATAGTTAGGGACAAAACCGGGTACGCGATTGCAACTGACAAAGCTGGGGGTAAGGTTGCGACTGGCAAACCTGCTGCTGGCAGTGTTGCTAATGGGAGTGTAGTTAGGCTGAAAGAGAATACAAGTCATGGAGTCGAGTCGGGATCGACCTAGGGGAGGTCGGTCGAGTTGAGGTGCATAAAATTAGAGCTTATTGTTCCAGCCGCCGCGAATGGCGTCTTGTATTTCGCGATCGCGTACAGAGCTGCTGACTTTGTAACCGAAGATTTTGGGTACATAGTAGGGAGGGTGGTGATGGTCGCGGTTGGCAGTTTCTTCCATGGACGCGTCTTCTAGGAGTGAGGCGACAACGCGTGTGGTATCTCGGAGTTCGGGAAGCTGAAGCTTCTCGCCGAACTCCATGAAAAATAAGTGGCTAAAGGTGCTGCCAAAGTACGCACCGTCTATGGCCGCAAGTACCGGGTTGGCCGGTCGATAAATCTCTTTGCACACACCGCAGTAGACCGTCGTCGAACCCTCGCCTGGCACATCGCTCATCCCGTACGGCATCATGGCTGCGTCGCAACCTCGTGGACACACGCCGTACGTCTCGTCTTTGTACTTGGATACCATTGCATTTAGACCCCTACAATGGACCGTGCTGGGAATGTAGGCCGTGCTGGGAATGGAGGCCGTGCTGGGAATGGGAACGGTAGGTGGGTAGCATGATAGGCCCAGCCGTTGATGCAGCCAACAGGGATACCTACGCGTTGGTGATGATGAACCTGGCGTGAATTAGCCCATACAGCAGACTTGCTGCCTTATTCATGGATGTATATGAGTGTTCAGAAGCAGAATCATCCGTCACTGAATCTAAGTAAAAAGCCAGATGTCTGAAGTGGTGGAGGGTAGGGGGGGGGGACTACAGGGAGGTGGGGATGACTACCGTCGAAGTCATTGTCCAATATAACGTCCAGTGCTTGCCGGTAATGGGGGACTACCGTGGCTAGGCCGGTAAGGTTGAAATCGTCCCGGATATAGTCGTCATCTACCTCCACGTAGAAGGGGTTGGAGCGGCAGTACCACTCCACCCAAGGCTCGCTCCCGACGGATGAAGCGCTATTATGCATCGAGGCAATTATTAAATGCCGCTATGAAATTAGATCATCCGAAATGGCAAGGTCCGGGCGAGGTCGTTTGCGAACTGACATACCTGGGTGAAAAGATGGTCATGAACGAGTACATAGTCGAACGAGAGGTAGTGCAACCAGTCAAAACAACTACCGAACATCTCTTTGAGACGTGAGATCAGCACGACTGCGCTTCTCCCAGGCACACATACCCTTAGCCTGGATGTGCCTCCACATGTGCACTGGCCTCCACACTTGATGTACCATCTACAGGTACCATCTGCTGGTATACCATCTGCTGGTGCCTCCCACACCCATCCTTTCCTCCTACACCTGCACGTAACTAACTGTCTTCCCTGTCGCCGCCCCTTAAGAAAAAACCAAACGCCAGTCGTATGTACCTGCAGTACGTACGTCATCCCCACTCGTCGGCTGGTAGAGGAGATAGTGCAGGTACCCCAGACTGTCCGCGAGCACATCGTACAGGTAGAGAAGCCAGTAATATACGAAACGGTCATCGAAGTACCAGAGTTTGAATACCGAGAGAAAATCGTGGACTTCCCGGTGGTGCTGCAAAGACCGCGGCCCGTTTCCGTCAAATACAACCCACTTGGAACCGCCTCACAGCAACGGCTCGTCGAGCAAATACGCGCTGGCATGGCTCAACCACCCACGTCCAGTCCACACTTGCCGGTAAGACACGTGTCGACAAGGCAACTACCCGAAAGGCAACTGCCCAGCAAACATGTTATTCGCCACGTTACTGTGGATTCGCCGATATCGTCACAATGGGGAGATCCTGTGCCGATGCCGGTATGCCAACACTGCCCTCAGGTCATTTACTCTGAAACAGTTGAACATGACCTAATCCAGTCACCTGAGTGGGACCAATCGGATGTTAGCCGACTCGATGTAGTTCAGCCGGAACTGGTTGAACCCGAATTGATTCAGCCGGAATTGGTCCAAGTGGACTTTGCTGATGTGGGTCATCATGATGTGGATCCTCTTAACGTGGGTCCTCTTGAGGAGGTACCGCCGGCTGAGGTGGTGATCGTTGAGCCACCGCAGGTGATTTACCATCCCGAAAAGTTTTCGTATGCACCTGCGATTGCGTCGCCGTGGCGACAAGTCTCATTCGACTTTGGGCCAGACTTATCGGAGCCTGCGTCTGAGTTCACGACCCTGATTCCGTACGGCGAGAAGCCAGCCACTGGAGGACTGGGGGGCAGTCCCTATGACTACTGTACGCAGAGTACCGCCTACAGCACGACCCCAGGAGTCGGGACGGTTTCGACCTGGCACGAAGAACGACTGCCGCCCTCCTGGAGGGGGTCCAGCGAAGGTCAATTAGACCACCTGGTCTCTGACCACTTGGTCTCTGACCGGCTGGTTTCAGACCAACTGGTGTCAGACCATCTGGGTTCAGAGCAGATAGGTTCAGAACGGCTGAGCTCTTACATTGTTGGGGACGGGGATGACCCCCGCCAGTGCTGCTTCCCGCCGAGTGCCGGTGTTATGGGTTTACTGGATGAAGGTGATTTAATCTCGCGCGAGGCGTCGGAATACAATATTACCGTCGAGCGGGCGGACGGGGACGACGGACTGTTAATTGAGTCTGAACGGGACGACTCGGAACCTAATGAGGACCCGCAGAGCAGTCCGGCTCGAGATTTTTTTGTGGGGGCCGCAGCGCAGCCGGTTCGCCGCTTTTACTGCAAGCCCTGCAATCCTGGGGTTGACGCCTACAGTCCTGAAGAGAATGCCTACAACCCTGAGGTTGACGCCTACGGTCCTGAGGCTAACGCCTACAGTCCTGAGGTCAACCCGCACACCACGGGACACACTTCGGTGCACACCACGGTCTATAGCACACACGGTCCGACCACTGTAGACTGCCCTCCGGGACCCGGCGCTCAGTTCTACAGCGCTGAAACTGAAGTTAGAATCCCGGTTCCGGTTGTCGCGGACACAACGGTTGAGTTTAAGGTACCGCGAATCAGCACAAAATATTCCAAGAGGGACGTCCCACTCTACGTGCCTCGATTTATTGAGACAAATGTTGAAGCCGAACTATATTGCGACAGCACTCTCCTGGAGGACGCAGCGAATTGTGACAAGGGGCTGCTCGACGCGATCGAACGCAATGAAGCTGCTCTGAAGACCCTCCGACGCACGGGTGACGGCGCTGCTCGCAAAGCCTTTGTAGAAGGACCGGCCTCGGGAGGAGGTTTAATTCCGGGAGAAGGAACGGCCGAAGAAGGCACCGCGGAAAGGTGGACCGCCGACGAACAAACCGCCGACGGAGGTCTTGGAGGAAGTTCCGCATCTAGACCTTTAACAAAGAGAAACCCAACGACGGGAGAACAGCGGGCCGGCGGGTCAGAAGGTTCCGTTGCGGATAAATACGCGCCGGTTACGCTGTCGGAACTGCATGACGCGGCGGAGTATATCAAGAGCCTCGACTTCGAGCGGCGCCTGATGGAACAAAAGGCTGCCGAGAACCTGCTCTATTACTGGCAAACCAACCAACTCCTCATCAATGAGGTCTCCGTGGCTTCGGTCTGCGCCGGCGTAAGCGGCGACGGAACTCCATTTTTGGAGACGGTCGCAGTCGTCACGAGAAATGAGCCACCCACGGAACTGACTAGCGACCCCCGTAGCAGTGACTGTTCGTCCCTCGACGCCCACGGGCACGAACATTGATGCCTGTGCGCATTTTTCCGTTTTCTTTGCTCTCCAAGGCAGTACTCTTGGAGACCGCGCTGCCTCGAACTGTAGCGGTTGGGTCTGCGCCGACCCCCCTGCTACCGCCCTGGCGTCAACCATCACACTGAATTGCTTCTGCAGCCAGTCCTCGGCTGGCACCGATCTGGCCGCAAACCAAAGCCTGCGTCTCAGTTAAAAGGGAAAAAAAAAGATGGCCACGAGTCATGATGACAACAGAATGGATATTCCCGACGACGACGTACTCGAAGAGTTCGAGGAAATAGGAGCACCGCCCCCTAGTGCCGCCGGCAAGGACTCGGACAAGTCGTGGACTCAGATACAACATATATGTAAACTACACTCAACCCAGCCCTGTCCGACTGCTCCGCCAACGCCCCATCGCACTCCTTCAGCTTGGGACGATGCCGACCTGGACGATACGTTCACGGAAAAGCTCGACGCGGAACTCAGGAGAGTTGCCAACGAAACATCCCACTAGTGTCCTTTTACAAATCATTTGAAACTGTGTCTCACACCTTATGAGGTCCCCACTGCACACGCTCATTACGGCACTCGCTCAGTATTGCACGCCATCACCACTGCACACCCGACTGGGCACCAGCTGATGACATCATGCACATCCTTGCTCTGAATTACGATGACGAGTGAAATCTTCTCTCTGAGACATACATAGTCCGCCTCCCTCACACACCGTCGCTCTGCGGCACTATCGCATGATATGATCGACGCACTTCATCCGCAGACACTCGTCGACGCACACACTTTCACATACACACACGCACGCACCAAGGCAGCAATGGCTCACAGCACACGGCCAACCCGCCAGCTGCCTGCCTATGCTCAGCAGGGGTTATACGTCGCAGATTCGTCAGCTAAAATCCAAAAGAGAGCAAGCAGCCCGGTTTGTGACACCAGCCGGGCTTGTGACACCAGCCGGGCTTGTGACACCAGACGGCTGTGTCCGAGCCAGGTCGTCCTGCGCAGGGTCGTCCTGGACCGGGTCATCCTGCGACTGTAGCCGTGCCTGGCGCTAGGGGGCGAGCGGGGGCGACGGCTCGGGGAGGCCGGAAGGCGCAGCTTGGAGAGCGGTCTCGGAGTTGACGAAGGGACTGTCGCCGAGACTGCGGCCTTTGGTCTCGCGGACACAGAGTGCGACGAAGACCACGAAGAGCGCGGAAGCGATGGTGAAGATGGTGTAGGCGACTTTGGCTGGGAGGAAGCCGGCGCTGAATACCATGACGATAGAGGCGAGCCAGTTGGCGGCGATGCAGATGGCAGACCCGACGGCCTTCATATCGAGCGGGAAGACCTCGACGATGTAGACCCAGGTGATGGGCCCGACGGAGACGGCGAAAAAGAACATGAAGAGACAGGCGCCGAGGATCGCAAGCGCCATGCCCGCCGTACTGGACTTGTCCTTGTTCCATTCGACCCAGTAACAGACGGTCGCGGGCGCCGTGGCAAGCGTCATGCCAATAGCCCCCCAAAAGAGCAGCGTCTTGCGCCCCAGCTTGTCCAGGATGAAGAGCGGAATGAACGTGCAAAGTGCGTTGATGCAGGTAATCCCGATCGACGCATAGGTGGCTGCCGTCGCGCTCAGACCAGCATCCTGAAAGAGCCGGTTGCTGTTGGCCACGAACGCATTGATGCCGGTGATCTGCTGGAATATCGCCAGCCCTACGCCCACGGCCAGCGCCTTCCCGTAGCCGGGCTGCTGCAACAACTGGCCAAAAGGAATCTGCTTCTTCGCCATTTCTTGCGCCATCGCGTCGCTCTTCCGGATCTCTCGCAACTCCTCAGTCACTTCGTCCGTCCCGCTCAGCCGCTGCAGCAACGCCCGGGCCTGTGCGTCCTGCTTCTGGTGCACCAAGCCGCAGGGAGTGTCGAACGTGTACACGTACAGAAAATAGATCATGCCCAGCAAGGTCGGAATGATTGGCACTGCCAGCATAAAGCGCCACCACACCTTGTTCTTGACAGGCGCTTTCCACCGCTGCTGCTCCTTCGTCGGCTCCGACTCGTCATCGTCCGCTGTCGGAACCGTAGTGAATGCAAGCCCCAACAACATCGCTACGAGCTGCCCCAGCACGACCAGCAACTGATGCGCAACACCGCACTTGCCGCGCTTCGCAGACGGAGCAATTTCCGCAATGTAATTTGGAGTCAAGGCGGACGCTATTCCCACAGCGAAACCCACTACCAAGCGGTTCCACAGCAACGATACGAAGCTGTTAGCACAGGCAGAACCGATTATGCTCAAAGCAAAAATCGGCAGCGCCACATGGGTGTACGTCCGTTGCAAACCCATTTTCTCGGTAAACTTTCCAGAACTCAATGCGCCTACCGCCGCCCCCGCGAACACTGCGGTAGACACAAAAGTCTTGTACCACATTGCTTTGTCGCATCCGACGTATCCTTCTGAGCCACACCACTTTAGTTCGCTCGCGATGTAATCCGCAGATGTATTCAAAACCGCCGTATTAATCCCAAATAGCACACTTCCGGTCGTCGCCGCCAACACCACAGACCACAGAAATGAAGGGACACATGGACACGACATCCTCGACCGTTGATCAACCTTAGACCAGTAGGCTGCATCCGTAAGGTTTTTGGTGCCTCTCCGCGAGCTAGCTTCAGCTATCATCGATTGGGAAGCGCTAGAAATCGAAGGAACCGCCACATATTCCACCGATGTCTGTTCTAGCGATCCACCTGTCCCGCCTTCCAGCGCTGGTTCCATTTAGCACACGCGTGTGCGCGCAATATTTTCAACTGACCACAAAAGGGGAGCTAATATCGTCGCCAGGAGCACCACAATTTATCGACTCCAGGGGTCGAGGGAAATCATGTACCGGGATTGAGACGAGAGAAACTCAACAATTCGTCTTGAAGAGCGTTTTGTGACCATCATCTTCGAGCAGAAGTGCGTTCGCGTTCATCCGGGGGTCTTTGGGGCCGCGACTTTTAGCGGATACGCATACTGTGTGTTGCCCCAAATCCGATTTTTTTAAGTCGTCCTCCGGATGGATGATGATGGATTTTTGATCTTGGCCGTGGGTTGCCCGTATTTGAGTAAAGCAGAATGCAGCAGGTGGGCTCCAGGTTATATGGAATTCAAGAGCCGGATGTCTAGCCCGAGTACGTGGACCGATAATGGGATGTCGGCGACCGTGGATAGGTACAAAGATCTTATTCAGTATGAGCTGGATGACGCAAAGGGCAGTCTGTCACCAGAGCAGAGGATCTGCGTATGCGTCCGTGGTAGGGTATCTGGGGAGGTGTTGGTTCTATATCAGCGTCACGGCGATGACCCCCATCTAGCCGAGGTTGCCAAATGGTTTGCCTCACTCAGTGCTGACGACCACGCCCGGCTGCAAGGTAACTATGGGGCTATCTCGCTTAACAAAGCTGCCTTAAGTGTCCAGTTTGGATGCTGCGCTTTTATTACACCGCATGCAATTCTCAGTATTTGCATAAATAAAAGCCCCGGTGCCCAGGAAACCGAAAGATGCTTGGACCGCCTAGAAAGACCCCCTTTCGCTTAAGGGGTTACATTCCGATGCAATTCAAATGCCACGGAACCCACGTGCCCGAGGGAGCCAGATCCATGTAAGCTGCACATCTAACACGAGACGCCGTTGTCGCGGTGCACACCTGTGGCACGATACACCTGTGGCACATCACACCTGTGGCACGGCGGCGTACCGTCTTTCGACACAGAGAGCTACCGTGGGTGACCTACCTTAAGGGCCATGAGACCTGCCTAAATCCTGACGGCCATGAATGACGCGTGCTTACTTGTAGCCCAATAACTTTTATAACTGCGAACGGCCAAGAGAAGAAGGTGCCCGGATTTGCGAAACAGACTGTGCTGGAAGTGGCGCACGAGAATGATATTAATTTAGAGGGTGCTTGCGAAGGCTCTTTGGCGTGTTCCACGTGCCACGGTATCATAGAGAAGGGCTACGAGAAGTTCCCGAGTCCGAGCGAGCGAGAGGAGGATTTATTGGATCAGGCGCCGCAGCTCACGGATCGTAGCCGGCTCTGTTGCCAACTTCGACTTAAGGACGACGGCAGGCATGACGGCGTCGTAGTTCGACTACCGAATCAAACCCGAAACTTTTACGTAGACGGACATATTCCAAAGCCTCACTAATTTTTCTTGCATGACATGGGTACTCTGGCCCCAGTTGTACTGGCGGCAATTTTCCCCCGTAACATTAGCACACCACTGACACAACTGGCACCACGCCGTTTCTACTCTGTGGTCGTATTCTGTGTTCGCACTCTGTGTTTGGTAGAGTTGGGGATGCTGTACTATCGCCTGGTGACTGTGATTCAAGATCATGCAGACTACGTGGCTGTGTCCTGTAATGTAATTCAAATCCTTAACGGGTGTGTACTGCTATACTGTATGATACTTCTGCTGTACACCGAGAGGTCTGTACACCGAGAGGTCTGTACACCGAGAGGTCTGTACACCGAGAGGTCTGTACACCGAGAGGGAATGCACCGACATTGGTCTTTGGTTGTAGTTGTTTATAAGGACGGGGGTAGTGTGCTGGCTATGACGTTTAGTACTGTGGTTGGCTTGATATGTTGTATCGCTTCCATTGGAGATGAATTGGGTTCTTATAGCAACACGTCAGTGTCTAGTCAAGAGAAGCAGCGTATGAAGGACAGGTTTCTTTTCACCGCAACGGCCGACGGATTATATATGGTATTATTTCTGACTCTGCTTCTGCGCGAATGCAGATGCTACATGTGTGGAGGCACCGGATCCTCGCCGTCCTCTGCCGAAGTTGACTGCTCCTCGGTCGTTTCCAAGCGGCTTGTGGACCACCACATTGTCGTCATCAATTACGGCCGAGAGTCTCACGGGGCCGAAACGCCTGGCCGCGGCTCCCACGGACGCGACTCTCAGACCCGCAGCCCAGGACTAGCAGGATCTGCAGCGGGTCCGGGTCCAGGGGCAAGTCCAGGGGCAAGTCCAGGGGCAGCAGGTCAGGATGTGAGTCATGGAGCAGGTGCGGTAGCACGCGAGAAGAATGAACATTCTTGCCAGGAAAGTGCTTGTCATCCAGCGCTTCCGGGCTCGTCGGAAACGACGAAGTCGCGATCGGTTGCCCCAGGGGGGCCAGGGGAACTGCTCCCCAGCACAGCTCCTAGTTCCCCTGGTTTCCGCAGTTCCGGGCCGGGACTGTTGCCTGCCAAGCACCACACAGCCAGCCAAAGACCGGCCAGGCAAGGGTCTGTTAGGCAAGGATCTGTTGGGCAAGGATGGGTCAGGGAAGGATCGATCAGGCAAGGGGGTCGAGAAGTGGATCGGAGACCGCGGTCTCCCGTTTTAAGCCCACGCGGAAGGGACGGTTCCACCGATTTCGACAGGCGCCGAAGCCCCTTCAGCCGCGTCCCTTCTAGTCAACGCTGCCGCGCTGACGGGACGGCCAAAGACCAGAGTCTGGCGACCAAGAGTCTGGACGCGCCCTCCAGGGAAACACACTCACGAACCATCAATGACGAATACCGCCCCGCGCCCGGGCAGCCCACATCGGACGACCATCGGACGAGGGGTTACAGCCCCAGAAATGATAGCTTTGCTGCCGATGCTTGCATTTGCGGCAGATAGCGCGAAAAGTAGTCACGAATGCGCCAATCCTGCACTGCACTAACCCTGCGGGGACAAAGACACCTACCGCGAGGTATTAGCCAGCGCGACCATTTCACGCGGCGGCACTTTACTGGTTTGGTGACCAGCTCAGCGGCTCCTTTTGGTGGTCAGCTCATTTAGCGGTCAGCCCGTTTCTGGTCGACAGGAATACGTTCCCTGTGGTTCGCCAATCAAATGCTCGCCACTCAAGCGGCACGTCGGTCACTCAGGTGTTCCTCAATCAAATGCGGTGATTGAGATGTGGCCGGGCGGGGTGGTCATTTTTTGTCTTTGCAGCGTTTGTTGTAGGCAGCGATTTCTCTGTTGCGTGCGAGTCTGAATTCGATGGCTGCTTCGCGCGCCTTATCAAAGCCACCGTATGACTTGCAGGTAAAATGACGGAAGGTACGTTTACCAGCGAGGGTCCAGCTGACGACCCAGGCCTGGTGTACGCGATCCCAGACGACGCCGGTGACTCCCGAACTGTACTTTGCGTACCATCCCTGTGCGGGAGGCGTAAGAGGTCGGTCACCGACTGCTGGCCCCTTCTTGTTGCTGGGAAAGAGGTCGCCACCATCAAAGCCGCACTTGCGTCGCGCCTCATTTAAACGATGATACTGGACACCGTAGGGATTGAACGCTGGTGCAAAGAACCCCCCGTAAGCACCCCATTCTAGCGGGGGCGCACTCACCAAATCTCCCGCCGCAGGAGCAGCGGGCGGTTCGCTCCAGCCCCCAAAACCGAAGGCGCCAAACTCGTACGGCGACATCAACTCCGCTCCCGACGCCATCCCGCCACCCAAGCCTGGAGCGCCGCCCAGGCCTGGGGCACCATTCATGCCAGGAGTACCATTCATACCGGGAGCACCATTCATACCGGGAGCACCACTCATACCGGGACCCCCCAGACTGGGAGCACCATTCATTCCGGGACCGCCACCACCGGCCATGCCCGGACCACCACCGGCCATACCGGGGCCACCACTGGCCATACCAGCGCTGCCTCCACCACTCATACCACCACCACTCATGCCAGCACCACCACCACCCATACCACCACCCATGACGGGAGCAACACCACCACCCATGCCCGGCTGGAATTGACCGGGCACCGGGTTCACGGTCATGGCCACGCTCTGCGGGTCCGATAGCGAACCGCGCATGGCCTGACCGTCGAGTCCTGCGCCCACGAGACTGAGCGGCGTGCTCGTCAAGTCGTAGTCGAAGCCCGCCTCACCTGGTACGCGCACATCACGGGGATTAACACACGCAAGGAACGGCGGCAACACTTCGAAACATGCTTCAGCCAAATCCGTGGCCGAATAAATCATCTCCTTCAATTCGCTCGGCGGTCCCACACGATTCAGACGCAACTTAGCCTTCACCGGACCGTCCTTCTCGATCAACTACAAGACGGCATGCGCCCTGACCCGTGCGTGACTGTGTGGTTCGTGTGACTGTATGCCCGTAGATCAGGGGGGGGGGGTGTATGCCCGTACGTCGATTGCTCTGAGGAGAGCAACGCAGAGTGCGTCTTCAGCCTTTTTGATCATGGCGCAGGTGACGCCTGGTTTGGGTGCGACGTAGACGGGTTTCTTCGGTACTTTGTGAGCGAGGAGTTCTCTGACCCAGGGTGGTTGGAGGGTCTCTGTTGACGGCGGCGGTGCGAAGGCAGGTTGCATGAGGGGCGGTGGTACGGGCAGAGGAGCAGGTCGGGGTGCGATGACAGTCGGCAAAACTTGGTCGTCGGCGGAAGTGAGAGGGTGTTGGGACTGCACGATGTAGAAGAAGCTTTCTGGTTCCAGGACACTCGGAGTGGCCATGGTGGACTCCTCGTCCGCTCGAGGAGTCGCGACCACGAACCCCGGCTCTTTGCTAATCCGGAAGCCTTCGAGTGAAGACAGAGAGAGCATAAATTTTCAGATGACTTTATCACCAATATGCAAGAAGCGCTCCGCTCCAGGAGAAGAGGAGGAAGATTGGCCCTCCGGTCCCAGCACCAAATTCGAACCCGGCACCTCCGTCTGGGTCAAAGAATCGCCCTTCGCGCTCGCGAAACTCATTGGAACGCAGGGAAAAACCGCCGTCGCGGAAATGACCGGCTCAGGCGAGCAACGCTCAATGCCGTTAGATAGTTTAGTTAGGGCCGATGAGCGGTTCGATCTTCCCGACTGCGCAGAGGTATGCACACACGACGGACGCACGCACGCACACACACACGACGGACGCACGCACGCACACACGACGGACGCACGCACGCACGACAGACGGATGCGCACACGACAGACGGACGTACGCACACACGACGGACGCACGCACACACGACGGACGCACGCACACACGACGGACGCACGCACTGTATGGCAGTTACGTTGTTTGAACTACCCGAATGTGTTGGAGAACCTGTGTGTGCGATTTGATTTGGCTCGGCAGAGAGAGGAGTACCGGGGTCGGATTTACACGTATGCGGGTTGGACATTGTTGTGCATAAATCCATACTGTGCGGCACCTCGTTTGTACGGTGAGAATGTGTGTGAACAATACTTCAAGAAGCCAATGGGTCGGGAGCCGCCGCACCCGTTTGCGGTAGCAAGTAGCGCCTTTGAGAAGTTGGTACTGGATCGGCGTTCTCAATACGTTTTGGTTTCGGGGGAGTCGGGTGGCGGGAAGACAGAGTGTTCGAAGCATGTGTTGCGTTACCTGACTTGGGTTACGCGTCGGAATCGGCGGCTGAGAGGGCGGTTATCGTTGGACGGTCAGCGAAGTGATGCAGCGGAGGGGTTGGCGGCCTTGTTGATTGCGGCCAATCCTGTTTTGGAGTTCTTTGGGAATGCTAAGACGTTGAGAAACGACAATAGCAGTCGTTTCGGAAAGCTGTTCAAAATTTACTACGACACACAGGGCGAGCGCCTCATGTCTGCGGAGCTGGAGACCTATCTGTTAGCTAAAAGCCGGGTTGTCGACGTACCCAGCAACGAGGAAAACTACCACATCTTCTACTCGCTGCTCAATCATGATGACTACGGACCCGCCCTCTTCCAGCAGGATCACGACACTTTCACAAGCACCTTCCTCGGCCGCGAAGACTCTAGTTACTACGGCGAACCCAACTGCCCGTTTCACCTCGAACGACTGATTCACGCACTCAATGAGTTTGATGTACCTTCCAACACCCAACTCAAGATTTACAAACTGCTAGTTGGCATCCTGTACCTAGGCCAGGTCGAATTTATCCACGCTCCCTCGACCTCACCTGCCTACGCCTCAGCCCTTGGCTCCTCGACCCTTGGCGCCTCGGGCCTTGGATCCACTCGCGCTGGCGGCGTGGGGGCCAAGCTCGGCATTGGAGGGGAGCCGATCATCTCCCTTGTCGACCGCACCCCGATGCATAAAGCCATGAGGCTCTGGGACATGGACAACCCCGCGGAGGCGGCGGATTTGTTGATCGAAGTGCTGACCACCAAGAAGATAAGAGAAACGACCAAACACCTGAACTGCAGAGAAGCACATACACTACTCAGTTCACTGTGCAAGGGGCTTTACGAACACATCTTCTCATACGTCGTGCACATGATCAAAGACAAACTGTACCGGTCGTCGGTCGCATTCGATCATTTTGGAGTCACCGAGGCCCAGAACCGGGGTGTTCAGAACCGGGGTGCTCTGGACAGGAGCGCTCAGGACAGGAGCGCCCAGGACAGGGGAGACTACGACTTGGGTCTCGAGCGTGATCGGGCTGTCCAAGACGAGCAGCCGTGTGTGGGTGTGCTAGATCTCTTTGGGTTTGAAAATATGGTCAATGGATTTGAGCAGTTGTGCATTAACTACGCCAATGAGGAATTGCAGAGGCAGTTCCTGGACACGGTGATCTTGAATGAGATTGATATCTACCGTGCGGAGGGCATCGTTGATGCGGAGGCAGTAGATTGCTTCCAGAATTACAAAGCTCCGTCTGCGCTGAGCTTGTTTGTGGGCCAACCCTCGGTGTTTTCGCTCTTGGAGGATGCATGCCAGTTGCAGCAGAGCGACGAGTATTTTTGCCGCGGTGTTCGAGAACTGTTGGCGAGTGCCCACTCCAGCGGCACTGTCCATAAGAAGCGAAAGATGCCCGTTTGCGCCAGAGATTCGTTCACTATCAACCACTACGCAGAGCCTGTCACCTACGAGTCCCAGGGATTCGTCCTGCGCAACCAAGACTACTTGTCTTCCGATCTACAACAGTTCCTCGAACTGAACGACTTTATCAAATCACTGTTCACGCACTCTACTCTTCCCTTAGGCACCACTGGGGGTACTATCGCCGCTGTAGCCCCCGCCACCGTGGGTAGTACTGCTGTGGGCAGTACTGGCGTCGGCTGTACTGCTGTGGGTGGTACTGGGATGGGCAGCACTGGTATTGGCAATGCGATCGTAAGTGGCCATACAATCGTAAATGGCCCTCCCAGTCGTATTGGGAATAGAAAGTTCGTAGCAACAATCAGCCAGACGTTCCAAAAACAAATGAAGAGACTAATGACATCAATGTCCCAGGTCGAATGCTACTTTATCAAGTGTATTAAACCCAATAACTTACAGAAGCCATTTACCATGGACCGAAACAAGGTACACTGGCAACTGGTAACTGCAGGCATTGGACACAGTCTGAACGTTATGTCCATGGGCTACCCCTGTCGAATGTCCTGCGCCAGCGTCTGGGAAAGGTTCAAACATATTTTGCAGCCTGGTAGCTTGGACTCCCCAAACGACTTTGCAGAACTGGTATTGCGCTATCTGGATATAGACGACTACAAAATTGGAGCGAGCAGGGTATTCTTCAAGTTCGGAGCCTACCAAAAAATCGAGACTCTCCTCTTGAGCTTAACCACGGAGAACAAGAAAGCCGATTTCATCCATAACATACTAAAATTCCGAAAAAGGTGGCTGCTGCATAGAATCTTCTCAGCTGGCTATTGTGCTGTCCTAGTTATGGAAAAGGTACAGCTATTGCGGAGGAAAAAAAGATGTTCAAAAATCTCCAGGGAACTTATTCTTTACTACAATCAAGTGTATTTGCCTCGCCGGCAGACGAAAGCTGTTGTCGTTATTCAGCAGTGGCTCATAGATTCTGGGTTTATACGCCTATGGCATCTTAGAAGGCTTCGATCTATCTTATTACTCCAATATTGGTGGCGCGATCGCGTACTCGAAAATCGTTTGCGTGTGCTGCACACGATTTTGGAGAAGAAAGCCGCTTGTAAAGTTATCTATTCTGTACTGCTTGGGTACATGTATCAAAGAAATCGAACCAATACAACCGAGAGGATAGCAGCTGTGATAATCCAGAGCAGGATAAGAGGGTATATAACGCGTAAACGCCTGGAGAAGCTGGCAAAAATATTCCAGAGTTCTGCCGCAAGAAAGATACAGAGATTACTTCGCAAGTTAGTTAGCTTGGAAACAGATGAGCGTAAGCAGTTGCGGCGGCGAATCATTGAGACCCGGAGGCCATGTTCGACGCCTGTGCGGGGGTCGACACCGCTGGCTCGGAGCGGGTTGACGCCGCTGGCCGCTGCTCGAACGCCGATTAGAGATGGTTCTCCCGAGTTCGGAACGTGCAGGAGTCGGCGGATGGCCATCCAAGCTGCAAATGAGGAGTACCAGCGCACGAAGGAATTTTGGGAGTTGAAGGCTGCTGATGACCCCAACCAGAAGTCGGAGTACATGCGGCGCAGGCGTTCGCTGTTCGCAGACACGTGTGCTGCGCCTCGGCTACCCCACGCAGCCATTAGCAAGGTGCTCCGGGGCGAGAAGCCCGAGATTTCGCGAGTCGCCAATTCTCAGCCAATAACGCCACTCAAGTTCCAACGAAGACACCAAAGAGAACTCAGTCTGTCGCAAGTAGTCCCTCAAATCACTGAGCAGATTGAGCTAAAATGCCGAGAACTCTCAACGCAAAGATTAAATCGGGCTTCATCCACTCACAGCAGGAGAGCGGCTCACATATCTAATCAGCTGTTCACTCAATCATCCAACCAGCTGTCGGACCACCTATCTAGCCAGCTATCTAACCAGTTGTCGAACTGCTCGGAAGACTTCGGATTTATTGATAAGCTCACAAGTCATAGCTCAGTTAATGGAGCTAGTCAGCCGTCCCTTCGACCGCAACTCAGCTCTAGGCCTCACAGCTCTGGTGTGCAGCCGAGTTTTTCGCGACCGGATGGCGGTCAGGACAGGCCTTCGTCTTCGGCAATGAAGCTGGGAGAACTGGCGGATTTGCACGGACCGGCGGAACTGCATAGACAGACGGAGCTTTATAAACCAGCACCCGACCGTTTCTCTGTATGCTCCGTGGCCTCTGTTCGGTCCGACTATAGGGACCCGACCGCAGCGCGAGAAGAAGGTCCAGAGCGGAGGCGGCAGACCCGAGACTCCGTGCTGGACTCCGTGCGAGAGATGACCCACAGCATTGTGTCACGCAGGTCACTCAAGGAACGCGGTGACGATGCACGACAGAGTATGAACGACCCTGGACTACAGAACTCTGGACTACAGAACTCTGGACTACAGAACTCTGGAGCTGTTGCATCGTTCGTCCCGTACCCGGACGTACCGTACCATGACTCGTCGTACCACATGAACGTGGAGGGGCATGAGAACCGGTTTGATGGGAGACGGTTGGGACCGAGTGATTTGAATGTAACGCCGGTCAGCGGTACTACGCCGGGGACAACGCCGATGGTGCGGCAATATCATGTCGACTCTTCATCAAGCAGCCGCCAAAGTGGCTTCGGGGAGACTAAGAGGTGCAACGGCAGTAGTAGCGGGTCGTCGCCAGTTAGTCCGGGTAACGCCGGCTTCGAAACGGCGAGGGAAGAACCGGGAAAGCGCGGTTTCAAAATGCCCTCGGCTTTCGTCGGCCTGATCGCCAAGTTCCAGAGGTCCGGCAGTGAGCGCGAAAGCTGCTCAGAGGCCACTTCCCGCCAACAACCAGTCTGCGACCAAGCCATGAGTCCACCCACAAAGGGACATTTTAACGAGTACAGCAAGGAAAAAACCACTCAAGCCGAACGGACGAACGAACAGACGAACGAATGGACGAACGAATGGACGAGCGAAATGGCTGACTCGTCCTTCTGGACCCTTCGAGATAAACGCGCACGGACCGCGGTATCCACTACTGCCGATGACAATGATGAAAAACTCTATGGGGGCGCATCCAACAGGGACACGACTAAGAGGGTGACGGGCAACAGGGGCATAGACAGCAAGGACGCAGTCAATGGGGGGGCGGACGAGGACGGAAGCCGTGGCAGCAGCCAGCTGAGTAGCACTGGATGTCGCTACTTTAGCGGCAGTGATCACCTGGCGGATGGAGCTGTGGTGGAGGGACCGCTGTTCGATGGCGCTTCCGTTGCTGTTGCCAAGAACCGGTTTTCGTTTGGGATGGAGGGGGAGAGGGGCTCTGAAGTGGACAAGTGGTTGGCGCACGACTCGTTGGGCACTAGCGGTGACGCTGGCATGCTGGAAAATTCAGACGGTTGGAGAGGCTTTGAATCTGGTCGGGGTTGCAAGAAAGAAAGTCGTCTGGTTCCTGACTATGTCCTGTCTCGCGACTGGGAGAATGAGATCGGTTTGGCTAGCCGAGTCGAAGCGGCCGGTGGTCTAGATCGAGCTGGTCGAAGCGAGATATCGCTGAACGATGAAGAACCCATGGGTTTGGTATCGGAGGCGATCGAGGAAGAAATCCGGAGTCGGCTAGATTGTCTATCGTCGAGTGCCACGTCCACGAACCTGTTGGAGAGCACGACCCGACCGCCCCAGAAATGCAGCCACCGCGCGAGCTCGCTAACCCGACTCGCGCACACGTGTGCAAACATGACGGACCACCGAAGTGGCGACCACCGAAGTGGCGTGCGCTACAACTGCGCGGGTTGCAGCCGAAGCAGCAACACGCCTGCAAGGTCAGCAGGAATGCGGGCTGTGAGTCCCACAGGGCCGCCCTCCGGACTGCCGTCGGAGCAGGTGTGCGTTTCGGTCAGAGACGACTTGGGAGATGGGCTTTCGGATCATCTAGCTGAGGACCCGTGTTCGAAGCAGACTGGCCTCAGTCTGTCCATTCTGAGCCACACGGCCTCCAGCCTGGCCAAGCTGCGGAGACCGCAAGCAGAAGAAGACATTGGAACGACCATCGGAAGGCCTGGCCACCCCCTGGGACCGGACCGCCAACCTGCCTTGTCGCATGACCGACAGGGAGTGACTCACAGCCGGCAACGCTCTGCCATTATTACCAGACGAAGCGGGCTCCCGACCACCGATAAAAAGCCAGTAGACGGAATGCCAGTGGGCGGAGTGCCAGCGGGTGGAATTTCAATGGGGGCAATGTCGGCCGGCGGAGTGCCGGTTGGTGGTCGGATTGGTGGTGGTTTGCCTTCGCCGTCGTCCTTTGGGGTCGACAAGTTGCCGGCTGTGCAAGATGACTGGGGATCGAACGCGGATGTGAAGGGAAGGCCTTCCCGAGTACGGACGAGCATTCGGGCCTGGCGGGCTGCGGATGACGAGACCCCGATGCTCCGAAGGAACGACTTGTCACAAGAGATCATCATCACTAAAACAGAGTTGCCTTCTTCAAACGACGTTGCGACGCCGCTCTTTGGCAAGCCGCAACCCGGCGTGGTCAGAAATGGGGGCGGCAAGAAGCAGTTCAGTCTTAACGCGGCCTTGCAGGACCTGGAAACCGTCCAGTTTGACAAGAACAAACAGCCTGCAGTTCGACTCCAAACGCTGCTCAGGAAGTCCAAGGAGAATCTGATAAGGCTGCCAAAGGCTTCCGGCGAAAGAAAAGGTAACTTTTGGCGGTCACTCACCTTTCTCTTTTTAGTGGTTCGAGCATACAAGGACTCCAGGGGACTGGTAAGATTACTGGACTGACTGGTTGTCAGTGCAGCGAAATATGACAGGATACAGGTGGTTAGGGTTCAGGGTATAGGTGGCACGGTACTTGCTAGATGGTTAGATGTTTTCTTCTGAGTCGTTTCATGATCTGGACGACGCGATGGGGCTCGGTGTCCGAAGAGGCGACTTGGTAGAATGTGTGGAGAATGCGTGTGGTGGGTGTGAGTGCACGCATGATGCTGCGGAGCTGGTTCTGTATGACGGCGGGGTCTGCGTAGTGCGCGCGATCAACGAGAGTCTCGACCTTGTTCCGTACGGAGAGGAGTCTGGCCAGATGTTCCGAAAAGGTCTCCGGTGACTCCAGCCAGGCTTGGACTCTGTCTGGCGTCATTCTGTCTGGTGTCATTCTGTCTGGTGTCATTCTGTCGTGCGTCACTCTGTTTGGTATCTCTTGCCCTTGAACGCCTGGGTTGAGTGCGTGGCGAAGGAGGGTTGCTACATTATGTCCGTGCGTCTCAGCGAGGCTTTGTCGTGAGTTGGGTGCCTGGGCGTGGCGTGCGGAGATTTGGGCTGCGAGTTGTGCGGCAAGCTCGGGCGAGACATCCGCTAGTCGCACTCGTGGTCTTAGCGGGTCTGCGCTGGTGGTCGTCGTCCACTCGGGCGACGGGGACAAAATCAAGCGTCGTCCCCACCAGCATTTGTGGCCGAGAGATACAAGGAGGTAAAGGGCGGTGAGCAGGACGATGGCGGCCTTGGCGAACACGATGGTCACTAACTGGAGCAGCGCTTCCAGTGCGGGCGCAATGGCCCCGCTCCACGCCGTTGCGGCTGCTAGCAGCGCCGCAAGAAGCGCCGGCCGTTGCTGGAGAAATGGCTGTCTGCGCAACATTTGGCGGGCACGCACGCACCGTTCCGCCGCAGACAGACATGCTGTAGACAGGCGGGTCGACAGGCGCGGCCCTCGGTTATGCTCCGGAACCGGTTCCGTCAAGTCGAAATCGTGTGCACATGCGTGTGCAAACGCGCGCGACATGCCGCAGCGCTCGAATAGACACGCGACAGCCACGGCAGAATCTACCTCTTCGAGCGCCGCACCCAACGCATCGAACAGCGCCTGTTTGCGGCACACCGTGTTGCGCCGGAAGACCCGCACGGAGATTCCGGCGCCCACTAACGCAACGAATCCCGCCCGCAGCGCCCAGGGTAGCCGCGATTTCAACAACCACCAGCCCGTCGCCAGCGCACCCAGCCACTTCACTACAGCCACGCACAACCGCTCAGACTCGTCCATTGCACCCAGTGCACCCCCCCCCCCCCATCGCGATCGAG